GCTTCCAATATGGTAGGAAAGCCAACAGATCAGTGATTTCTAGGTGGTAAAAGTCACTAGCGTATCATGAAATTGAAAGACTGGTTAGGGGGCCCTGATACAATTTCACTGTGATGAGTACATGGTCTCTCAGGCAGTTTTTGAAAAGAAGTTATAATAAGAAAGATATTAGAAACCTCCACCAGCTTCTATCCACCCCAAACGTTTTCTCTTCACGGGCAGGGAAGAAAGGGGAAGGAGAGAAAGACAGAATACACTCATCAAAGGATCACCCTAGAGTGCTTGGCCGTCCAACGACATGCTAAGAAGGCTTTAGGTTCTTAAAATAAATGGAGTGGAAAAGCATTCAACCTCCTCTCTACACTGCTTGCCAGCTTTTCTTGTCTATAGCTCCAGCGCAGTGCGCGAATAACCTGCGGCTAAAAAGAAAAACTAAGTTAAGGTAATGGAGAACCCGGAAAGGGTTAACCAATAAGGAAAGGGACTCTTGCTGAAGTTTCGTTTAAGAAGCCAAGAAAGTTGAGAGCTGAAAGGGGAAAAAAAGAAAAAGGAAAGAAAGAAAGAAGAGAGATGTTATTTCATCCTAGAAACAAAACTCATAGAAATGGGATAAAGAGGGGAACACTGAGTGATAGCTTGGAAATTTGCTAGTAATGAGAAGTCTATTTCCCTAGAGGCAACTCATCGTTTCAGACCAGATTGGACCACGCTGGAGATGCTGTTTCGCAGAGGACTGGTGCCTCCCTCAGCTCGTTTCAATGACAATGAGCATTTCTAGTTGAGTGCGAGAAGACATGAAGGGCATCTTTTATTTTCCTAAGAGGAAATTGAACCTAGGCATTGTAAGACTTCAGTATGTGCCTGTGTATGAAAACTATAAGCCAAATGCTTTTGAAGAGAAACAGAAGTATGCTGCCCTCATGACAGAGAAGTGTCCAAGAACAAAGACAGAGGTATTTTGGCATGCCATTCCTACTCCATGGATTCTTTGTTGTGATACATTTTATGACCAACTTTAAAGACACTGACCTGTTGATCTCGTTCTGGTTTTCATTCGCTGCATCCTTCTCAACATAAGAAAAAGTCCCTTAGGATAAGCAGGATTTTCATTTCTAAAAAAAAAATACACACACACACACACAGAGCCCCAGGACTCTAACAGTTTCCCTCTTGCCATATAGAACTTTAACTGTATAAAGAACAGAAAATGGCACCATGCAATGAAGCAGAAAGTCTGGCAAGAGACTCACTTGCCTGTTGCCCCATGGGTGGAATTAGAGGTCTAATCCACAAAGACACTTCAAGTCGCCTTAGCCAGATACTCCCCACTTGGCTGCAGGCTGAGTTGTGGAAGAAGTCACTCTTCCAGTGAACACAATTTCTAATTAGCATTGAAAATGCGTGGTAGCTAAGTTCGCGGTGAAGACAGGCCATCTCCTCATTCTTCTTAGCTGGAGCTAAATGAAGCTGTGAAAAGGGAACAGGATAATTGCTCATGGTGGGGCCGGGTGTTTTCTCCCGCACAAACATATAATTAGGCTGTCTTAACCTCCCGGTTCAGCAATAAACACCACTTCACAGACTAATTTACAGTCGAGACTCACAGAAGGCTGTGGAATAAACTCTCAGTGCCACGGGCCTCGCTGTTCAGTTAAAAAGAGAGCAGCTTCACTATTTCAAGTCAGCAAAAATCCTTTTGCACTTACCACAAACTAAAATGAGATTGAAATAAGGACTCTGCATTCAAAACATTGAACACACCAGCTAATAAAAAATACATTTGTGACTGGTCGTAAAAATACAGAATGTAATTGGCTATACCCTAGAAATATTCTTTACTTACAATATTTGGGAAGACAGAGGTCTCCATAATATTGACTTTGCTAACACGTCTACATTTTTCTGTCCGCCATAATTACGCACCAGTCAGCGACACCTAACTTCTGTAGCTGCTAACAGGCCTTGACTCAGGCGGTGGGAGGGGTGCTGGCTGCAGCCCGGCACAGATAATATTTGCCTGGCAAATACTGTTGGCTTGGGGTAGTCAGGGTGGGGATGGGGGGCAGGGTGCTGTTACAAAGAGACAGCTCCTTCATGGCCCCATCACCAGCCCCATTTGGACCCCCAGGACTGGGAGATTTTCCAAAGGGACCTCTTACTGTTCTTCAGTTGCCTCCTTTGCTCAAAAGCCTTCTTTGAGCATAGAACCCAACACAATCCCGTAGGGGAGGTCACAGAAGGAGATACACCCTCTGTAGGGCTGTGTTTTCCTCTGCCCAAAGCAGACCGTCTAGAGACAGAGAGGCTGTGGTTTGACACTGACTGGACATCAGGAAGGAATGGGGAAGGGCTGTGGGCTGTGGATGTGTTAGATGTGAGGCACGTGGTGTGAGAGTTGGAGAATTGACCATAGATAGAGATGGAAGAGAGGCCTAGAGACTCTGGCATGAGAGATGAAGCATAGGTGGTTTTATCCATAGTCAAATATGAATGATTTGTAGAATTACTATTCTGATTCTCCGCTCAAAGTATGGAGAAATAAAATAGTAGGTGGGTCATATTTTTCCTCAAGTCTTCTTTTTTGAAACAGTCCTCTGTTCAGCCAAGATTTG